CTTATTTGATTTATACGAGTTAATTTAGACGTAATGCACGTTTTTTATAGACAGCTATTTCCATGCGTTGACATTATGTGCTGCATTATTTTGCTCGTTGCGTCCTCCTGTGGCCTCGGGAGACAAGACAAAAGTTTCCTTAAAACCTATTTAATTTGCATATAAACATTAGAAATTAGATATTTGTTTAATTTTTATTGTGTGTTTGACTGTTAAAACAAAAAAATATTTATTGTTTGTCTCAATAAATTGGGTTAATTTAAAAATACAGTGGTTAAATTAAAAAAAAAAATTCCATTGCTCTTTGTTTTAAAAAAGGTTATAAAAAATGTCAATAATTATCGATACCGAACGACATGAAACATTATATCGTTGATAATTTATTTAGCTGTATCGCCCAGCCCTATGAACAAATATAAAAATAAAACACTATATAGATATATTCTCTTTGCTTTGTTGTTTTATTAACATTAAAGGAATAGTTCACCCCAAAAAAAAAATTGTCATCTGTCTGTCAATTCTGTCATAGTGTTTTATTTTTATACCATCATTTACTCACTCAAAAGTTTGAAAAAAGGAGTTTCTTTCTTCTGCTCAACATAAGAATGTGGAAAACCAAACAGTTGCTGGTCCCCAGTGACTTCCATAGTATTTTTTCCTACTATCAAATTCAATGTGGACCAGCAACGGTTTGGTTACCCACATTCTTCAAAATATCTTCTTTTGTGTTCAGCATAAGAAAGAAATTAATACAGGTTTGAGACAACATGTGAGTAAATAATGACACAAATTAAATTTCAGGGTGAACTATCCCTTCAATGACAGTCGGCTGCATGTTTAGTTCTGTCCCTGTACAACAGTAATATATTTCTGTCATAATTTCTTCAAGTTAAACCACTATAACCGTTTAAGAGCGGAAACATGAATTAAAGCAATATAAGTCCATTTTAATTTCATGCCAACAAATTAATAATAATGGAATTAATAATGACGACCATCATTAGTAATAGCACTGATTAAATGCTTTTTTACTTATCAGAAAGTACAGACTCTGTCCATTCATGAATGCATATTTGCTTTAAAAATATTTACAGAATGTATATCCCCATTTTTTCCCGTTTTTCTTTAATACTGTATAAAACATTTTCTTTAAAAATCAATAAAAATAACATCAAAATATCTAAAAACTCTCACTTATAATCTCAATTGTAAATGTACTGAATTTATGCCACAAATACAGGACAAACCCTATGTTTCGTTTCCAGAATGACCTTTAATTCTAATAAAGTTTGATTCGGTTACTTAAATTAAAGTCATCCATGTCTCACGAGCTCAATGAACGGAGACATTTGACCCGAAATGCCATACAAGAGACGTGATTGATAAACATTCCCAGAAGCACCAAATCCAAAACAGCTTCAACAGATGAATATACAGTATATATGAAGTCCATATTATTTCTATTCTCTTTCCCACTCAAGCTCTAGTTCTTCTGGATCAGCTCGTGTTTAATTGAACAGCAGCACTAGCTGAACTCTGATACGAGATTTGGCAAGACGTCTTGAGCAGTTTGACATCTACAGAGCTTTTACAGTCATCAGAGCGTAAACACGGACCTTTTATAACTTCTTTGACATTAAACAGGAGTTCAGCTCACTGATGTGTGCAGCTAAAATGTCAAAGATCATTTATGAATCCTACTGCAAAACATTTGTCAGAGTGAGGTATTTAAGTCAGATCTGAATGCGAGTTTGAAGTGAATTATGCATCGTCACGTTTCCCAATGGCGATGCTTCTTTGTCATAATTATCATTAGCTGCGTTTCCACTGTCGGGCCAAAAGCGGGCGTGCTAGTGCGTGCCAGGGCCAGTCGCGTTTCCACTGTCACTTCCCGGGGCTTGATCGTGCCTCGTCGGTGCTTCCTCGTCGGGTTTTTTGGCCCGACGAAAACCTTGGGCCAAAGCGGGCCAGCTAGGGCTAAAGGAGTGGTTATGAACAAAGGCGGCGTGTCTCCGGGTCTGGAGAGCATCAGCGCCGCGGATCATTTCTTAAAGTTAACAGATAACACCAGCATTAAAGACTTTAAAAATAATTTTAGCTCAAAACTCACTTTCAGACAGCAGCGAGTGTTTGAAATAACTTGATCCGATGTGGATTATGATCACCATACAAGGCAGAAATATTTATAAGCGATGCAAAAGACTATGCACGCTAGCCATTGTTGTGAATTTGACTCACTTGTTTCTAATTTTTCTTATTTTTCCTTTGTACTACATCTCCCACAATTCCTAGTAAACTACATTTCCATATATGGTGCACTACATTACCCATATTCCCCTGGTTAAGGTCTATAAATAGACCTTACTTCCTTCCTTTGTCCCTTTTGCATTGGTGAGGTGTGGGTTTGAATGGACACCCAACCATGTTCTTTGAGTCCTTCCCTTAGGATGCGTTAAGTAAGTCTATTTGCCAATTGTATAGTTTGAATTAGTTTATTTGAATTGTTTAGATATTTAGTCCCTATTTGGATTGAATACAATATTGATGTTTATTGATGAATTAATTTCATGAGTTTGATTTCTCTTTTGTATTGTTTGTAGTGACTTAAAACCATCCTGTTCATCATGTCCAACCTAGTAGTCCTGCTCCATGTGACTTTGTGAACTTCATGGTATTTATCGTGTATTTATTTAGTTACATATTTTAACTGTCATAAGTCTCGTCTCGAGAGTTTAGCTCTCACAAAAATATAATATGGTTTTTGTTCGGGAGCTTTTATAAAAATATAGAAATGATCATTCTTTCTAAATGTGATGTATATACTGTGACTACAAATAAACAGAAACAGACTCGACTGAGTAGTTAGGCTATGTTCATACCGCTTTATTTCTGTGTGACTAATTTTCAATCCTGATAAATTAATTCATTATGATCAATGTATCACTTATTATTGTAAAACATCAATGCTTTTGGATTTAAATCTTTAACAAAGCATGCAAACAAACGGCTGCTTTTATCATGTTCGGTTTGTGATCGCGCTAGTTCCAGTGACTTATTTTTTATTAGTTTTCTGATAACTTCTCTTTGTTGGTGAGATGATGGGGTTGCGTGACGTTGTTCCTGAGAGGCGTGTAAAGGGCGGGTTTTAGTAAAGCGCAGCGTTGCTTCTGGCCTGACGGTGGAAACGCAGCGTGATTTTTGCCTCGGTGCTACAGGTTCGAGGCTATTAGCCCCGCCTGGCCCGTTTAAAGCACTGGCCCGATAGTGGAAAAGCGCCTATTGTGATATTACTGCTGCAAATTTAGACAATAACAAGAGAAATTTCTCTATTAACTATAGGCAAGATTTTAGAACAGCTGCAATATCTATTTTGACATTGTTTTAGGGTACTTGTGTTAGGTAGAAAGATTTACTTAACATATTAGAGTAAGAACATTTGCAGAAAATTGGAATATTGCATAAAACATTTGCGAATAAAGCATCGCTTGCATCACAAGACAACAAAATCGTCACTTCCTGGGAAACTGCCGCAAATGATCAATAATAAAAATGGAAGTTGCAGTTAAAGACCCTAAAAAAAAAAATATTTAGGCCCGATTTTATGATTTCTGTATTTGAATTACATATAAAATTCTCATGCATTACAGTTTTAACTAATAAACTTAATGTGATGCAGATTTGTCAGTCAAACATAAATGAAACGGGACAGATTTCTGTAACAGTACTAATAAAATGAATGTGTTTTAAATACACAATAACCATGTTTATATATTTATCATCAATACTATTTCAATTGGTTTCAATGTTTTTAAACTAATTGAATACTGCTTGCTCCACAGCTACCATTTTCATACTTTTTAACTGAATCAATTTCATTATTATCACAATGAACAGACTTATGCTGATTCTGAGGCAATTTGAATAAATGCATTACGAAAATATGATTATTTAAACAAAATCAAATAAATTAACTATTTGCATTTATTTGATTTCATTTAAATAATAAAATTTTTTAAATGGTTTAAACTATAGCATGATTTTTGAGTGCAGAAATGTGACCCATTTCATTTATGCCTGACTGACAAATATGCATCACATTAATTTTATTAGTTTATGTTAGTACTGTTTAATCCAAATAGATGGACATTTTAGATGGAATTAAAATACATAAATCTTAAATTTATGGCTAAAAATGTTAAGCCTGTGACTCTTTTTCCTACATAATAAATGACTTCCACTTCAATTGAGCAAATAATTTTTTAATGTGCATTTTAAGATTTGATGCACATCTTGGTGTTCCCATCCAACTTTTTTTTTTTTAAATGCAATGTCCCAAAATCTACATAAAAATGCATGGATGTAAACACAGATAATGACTAAATACATACCTGACCGGCATTAACAGCTAAATATTACTGTTTTAACACAATCTTCTGTTTGATAACAGATTTCAGAAATGTAATCGAATGATTTATTAAAGATAAAATAATCTTAAAAGATAATTTGGATCATTTCAAGCATAAAGAAAACAAAAAAAATGACCAAAAACATCAAAAAGTTTTCTGAATTTCTGAATCATTTAGTTCAGGACCAATAAACAAAACAAAGATATCTGAAGGTGTCAAGACAGACAGAGAAGAACCAGGCCATTATGATTCAAACAGCTGCGATTTATGCATGTATGAGGCAGTTAAACATGCAGAAAACGAACAAACGAAAGAAGAAATCAAACTAAATCAAGGTGCAAACTAAAGCAAAGCAGGTTAGTTGCTCTCACGCCAGAAGAGAAATCAGGCGCAGGCCTCTGGCTTACATCAGATCGGTTTTCTCCATGTCCCAGGCTCTCCTCCACTGGCCTCTGGCGTTCTTGTGTCGGGCCACGCGCTCGCGGTCGATCTCCTCGCGCTCCTTCTTCCACCGCAGATACTCCAGCTGCTCTTCTTTGGATGTGACGAGGTTCAGGTCAGCGACGGCCTCTGTGACCTGCCAGATCATTCGAGCGTCAAATACAGAGCAAAATCTGCAGTCTGTCGATCACAACCATGTGGAAACGGTCTAATTCGATATGCAGTTGCAGTTAAATACTGTTTGGTTGAACACAAAGATATGAGAAGATGCATGGAAAGAGGTTTACGCCCCTCCGCTTTAAAAACAATATGATTAGTGACATCTGAACATCTCTGTGTTTACTTTAATTAGACGTTCAGACAGAGTGTGTGGAAACGCTCTCACCGGGACGACATACGAGTCCTCACATTGACTCCATTGATCTGGTTTTTCTGAGTCGTCCTGAACAAACACACAGATGAGAGACAATGGTAACAATGGACTGTTACAAATCAAGACTTCAAGACCTATGATTTCACAGCTGAAGAGGTTTACGGTTAAAACACAAACACAAATCATTTTAGACATCTAATCGAACATCTCATTAATATATATTATTATATATTATATATACATATACACACACAGTAAATTTGCTGTTTACTATAATGTATATTTAGTAAAAAGCAATATATACCCATATACATGTAATATATATGACCCTGCAGCACAAAAGCAGTCTTAAGTCGCTGGGGTATATTTGTAGCAATAGCCAACAATACATTGTATGGGTCAAAATGATTGATTTTTCTTTTATGCCAAAAATCATTAGGACATTAAGTAAGATTATGTTCCATGAAGATATTTTGATTAGCTTAATTAACTTAATTTTTGATTAGTAATATGCATTGCTAAGAACTTCATTTGGACAACTTTAAAGGCAATTTTCTCAACATTTCGATTTTTTTTTTGCACCCTCAGATTCCAGATTTTCAAATAGTTGTATCTCGGCCAAATATTGTCCTATCCTAACAAACCATACATCAATGGAAAGCTTATTTATTCAGCTTTTTATTCAATTTCGAAAAATGTACCCTTATGACTGGTTTTGTGGTCCAGGGTCACATATATGGAGGTCCCTATGAATTTTTTTTTTTTTTTTTAATTCCATTTTTTCAGCTTTAATTTTCTTTCTCCATTTTTATTTTTCTGGACTCCGTTTTAATGGTTAAAATTAAATTTTAATGATCAAAAGGCATGTTTACTTAATTAAAATCACATAACTTCTACATTAATTTAAGAACAATGTATTAAAAGTTGAACAGAAATTACATTTTTAGAGACCTATGAAATTATTCACTGTTATTATTAGTTTATTTTTCAAATTTCATTTTATTTTTACCAAATTCTGTTTTCAATTTAAATTTTTTCTGTATTCCATTTTAATACTTTAATACAATTTTAATAATCAAACAGTATGTGTAATTAACCGAATCTATAAAAACACTTTCATTTATTAGAGTCCTATAAAATCCTATAATATGATTATTCCCCCCAGAAATTCTGTGTTGTGTATTGACATTTTTCTAGCAATCAAATGAAGGCATAACACATTAACATTTCTACATGGCAGGTGAATTGGTGTAATATGCGGTCTATTTATTTCAGTAAAAAGGCTAATATTTTGGACATAACGGTCACTCTGCATTGAGCATTTTTGTACACTGGAAGAGACACACTGCCCTCATGTGAATAAACGTAAGTAGTGCACTTGCTTTAGTGAAGTTATGATCAGAGCTGCTAGAAAACTTCAATCAGGATGAGATCCTCTCAGAGAGAACAATGTTTAACACCCTGCAGCATGTGCATCTGAAGCTTTAAAGTTCAATAATGCAATAATGCATATAACCATATCATTGTGAATACTGATGTTAGGATAGTAAAATAAATAGACTAAATATATAAATAGTGAAAATAACTTTTAAAGGGAGGAGAAAACACTTGATGTTGATGCTAAAGTCTGTGCATGCAATCAAGCTCTGCAGTACTTCAGCATAAATGAACCTGTTAAATCAGTCAAATAAAAGTGAAATGAAAAGGAATAATAAAAAAACCAACAACAAATCACCAAAAATAAAAATGGCAAAAACAAGATGACTAAAACCTTGAAATGAAAGCAAAATATAAAAACAAAAACTAATTCAAAATATTAAATAACAAAAACTACAGTACAGTATTACAGTATACAGTATTATTTCAATGATATTAAAATAACCCCGGTGTGATTAAATAAAAACATTATAACATAATAAAACCACACAAGGCAAGAGAAAATCCAGATTAATTCAATAGAAAATCAACTGCAGTGACAAAAAACAAAAGTATATAAAATACTTATTACAGTATTTTTATAATTACAATATTATTATAGTAACACTTTACAATAGCGTTTTATTTGTTAACTATAGTTATCTATTTTAACATGAATTAACAATGAAAATTACTACAGCATTTATTTATACATTAAGAAAGGTTACTTTATATTAATAATGTAAAGTGTCAGCACTGAGTCTGTGCAGTTAATGCTAATGCCATTTCAATGTTGGTTTTTAAGGTTCTTTCTCTTCTTTCAAAGTACTATTTTGGCTCCTGAAAATCTGTATCTTGAAGCAAAACCAGTTGATAAACGCAGTCCTAAAGAGACTGTGACAAAACGAGAGCACACAGAGTCGCTCATCCTGGCACATCGCCTCTGCGCTCCCATCAGCCGCATAATAAACCTATTCAGAAGAACGAGCGGCCAAATGTTAATTAGATACAATGAACCCTGAGAGAGAGAGAGACAAAGAGAGAGTGATTTTAGAGCGACGCTGCTGTTATAGCTGCTTCTCCTCACAGCGTTACGGCTGCGTCATGATGTCATTCTCCTGGAATCATATCTGACGCCGACTGCACTGATGCATTATGGGAGAATCCTTCCACATACGGTATATCTGTGACTCGGTGAAAGCACGACTCGCACTCACATGATTAAAATCCGTCTGTCAGCTGCGAGAACAGCTGCTGTGATGACAAACCAGGAAATACAAGAGAAATATGACAGGAAATGCTTATTAAAATAGTCCTTTGGTTCAAAATATAGCATAAACTGATTTCTGAAATCTGCATGAAGTCAGAACTGACTTATGCATCAACCACCTGTCATATTAAAAACATGCAAAAATTAAGCTTTGTCCTACTTTTTTCTCATTAAATATCCTGATTCACTCTGAAAACTGGGTTTTAAAAAACTGGGTTTTAAAGCACCTAGCAACCACCCAGATGGCCAGTGTTGTTATTGTTAACTACTAAAAACACTTCTGGCAATTTAAATAAAGCTGAAGGAAAATAAAATATAAATATTAGATAAAAAAACTTACACTATTAAAAATGATTAAAAATCTAGTAAAAATCATGTTTGGTAAAGCTAAAGGAAAACAAATATAAATTTTACTTTAAAGGGGTCATATGATGCGATTTCAATTGTTCCTTTCTCTTTGGAGTGTTACAAGCTCTTGGTGCATAAAGAAGATCTGTAAAGTTGCAAAGACTAAAGTCTCAAATCCAAAGAGATATTCTTTATAAAAGTTAAGAGTCAGCCACACCCCCCTAAAACGGCTCGTTCTAACACGCCCCCACATATCTACCTCACTATGTGGGAAGATTTGCATAACGCTGCCCAAATGTTCACGCAAAGAAAAAAGGTGTAACTTTTATTCTCGTTGTAGTTTTGTTGTTGCCGCCGGCGCCATGTCGTGAAGACGCTGTGTGCTTTGTTGTGAAAGCGAAACTACTTTGTTTGGTCTTCCAAAAGAGGACGATATCTGCTTCGTCATGCCTGGAGCTGATCCGTGCTGGGCGCTGAGGAAATACATCAATGACGCATTTTATGGAAGACTGTTTCCTGAACCTGCAGAGTAGTCTGTGCACAAAGGCTGTTCTATAAAGTGGGGCAGTTCCAACTTTGCAAGGACAGTCTGGCGCTTCATGACTCACAGCCTGTAAGTACGTTTTTTATATTTAAAGAATTTGCCACTGATGATTCAAACGCGAGTAGCGCTTGTTGTTTGTCGTTTCTCCGATCACAAATGCAGACATGGTTTTATGTTTACGCGGCGCGATACGCAACGCAACGCGTAAAAACACAGTATAAGTCATTATAATCAGTAATTATGTCCCCACTGGATGCAACGAATGCCTCGTTTGTAATGGGTTTTATTGGTTTTGTCTCGCTGTGCTGGGAGACGGCATCAGTGTGTTAAGGGGCGTAACATTTCCGTCACACGCTTGAGGTATTCAGGCAATCACAACGCACTGGATAGCTGGCCAATCAGAGCACACCTCGCTTTTCAGACCGATGAGCTTTGTAAAAATCGACGCGTTTCAGAAAGGCGGCACATAGACGAGAAACAATAATGTACATTATGTGGAAAATAATGTGTTTTGAACCTTAAACCGCATAAACACATTTCATTACACCAAATACACAAAATAATGTTCTTTTTAGCAACATCATATAACCCCTTTAAAAACACACTTAAAATATTTACATGAAAATTACAAAATAAGTTTAAGTTGAGATACTAAAATTAAATATAAATTAAAGCTAAACAGAAATATAAAAATAAAAAATATATATAATACAATTACTAAAACTTAAATCACTTTTTTTTTTAAATTTAAATAAAATTCAAGGAAACTAAAATATAAATATATTTAAAACTTAAACTTAAAATAGTTACATGAAAAATAGAAATTGGAAATAATTCGAAGCTGAAGTACTAAAATTACTAAAACTGAAATTAAATATAAATTAATAGCTAAATATAATATAATATAGAAATATAAAAAAAATAAAAAGAATTAAAAAAAGCCAAAAACAAAAAATGAAATCAGTACAAAATCAGAAATGCTGTTGGCAACTAATTGAAATAAAATAAGTTAAAGTTGAAGTTCTAAAATTACTAAAACTAAAATGAAAATACATTAAAGCCAAATAAAAATATTTTAAAAGACTGTCCTAGAAACAACATAGCAACACGTGTGTTATGGCCAGTGTTGTTATTGTTAACTAGAACTATTAAAAATCAAAACTAAAGCTAGAAATGCTGCCTTGGCAACTAACTGAATTACAATAAGCTTACTTTGAAGTTCTAAAATTACTAAAACTGTAATAAAAATAAATGAGAAATATAAAAAAAGAAGAAAATAAAATCACTAAAACTGAAACCATAAAAACTAAATCTAATTAAAAATGTTAATACATATACTATAATAGCATAAAAATAATACTAAAATAACTCTGATTTAAACTAAGTGAGCTCATATACTTGAAGGCGCCGCTGCTGCTGAGAATCCACATTCACATTCAGTCAGTGTAAGAGGCTGTGTGCTGGATCAGACAAAAGCTCTGATGATAAAGAGCCTCGGCTCGAGCACACAATGGGCTGCATTATCCGGCTCTTTCAGACTTCAGAGGACAGAAGCTGCCTCCCAGACAACACAACACAACACAACACAACACAACACAACACAACACAACACAACACAACACAACACAACACAACACAACACAACACAACACAACACAACACAACACAACACAACACAACACAACACAACACAACATCACATCTGTCCACTCCCTGACATTCCCACACATCAGTGACAATCTCACAGACATGACGCTAAACTACAGCCCTAATAACTGCTTCGGGGGTCGGCTTTCTTACACTAGAATTTAATAGTTTGGGGATATTTTAATAAAGCAATAAGCCCCAAGAAGCCGTGGTTTACAGTGAATTTATAACAGCTAAAGGGGTTTTAGTCACTCCGCGAATTTATAACAGCTAAGGGGCGTTGTTAGGTACGACGCAAAGTGGAGTGACTAAAACCCCTATAGCCGTTATAAATTCATTGTAAACCACGGCTTCACGGGGCTTATTGCTTTTATAAAACGGTTATTCCATATAGGTAGTACGGATTTACAAAATAAAACGGAGCAAATAAAGTGTAATGATATTAATAAAAACAGTATTCTTCCACCAAACAATGTAGCTCCTCAGAAACAGTTGTGGTTGCAACAAAGTGGTTGCCGAGCAACACACAAAAAACTAAAATTAAAGAAAACAGAAAATACAAAATTAAAATCTATTCTAAATATTAACAAAAACTGTAACAGTATTTCAAATTTACTACAATAACACCAATAGAAATATATATATATATATATATTTTTTTTTTTAAGTCTTATTTTATTTGAACTTTAAGTAAGGAAAATGCTTTTTTAAAATAAATAAATGAACACATTTTTGAATCCATCAAGGGATGCATTAAAATTTTCATCCAAAATGACATCCAAAGACATTTATAATGTTACAAAAGATTTCTTTTTCAAATAAATGCTGTTCTTTGAACTTTCTATTCATCAAAGAATCCTGAAAAATAAAATGCATCACTGTTTCCACAAAAATATTCGGCAGCACAACTGAAATGTTTCAGTTAGAATTATTAGAATGATTTCTGAAGAATCATGTGACACTGAAGCCTGGAGTAATGATGCTGAAAATAGAAACAGTTGTGGTTGCAACAAAGTGGTTGCCGAGCAACACACAGAAGTAAACAAAGGTGTATGTTACTTTGTAGAGTAATTTACAACAGCTTCGAACGCGGCTCAGCCAATCAGAATCAAGCACCGGAACTCTCAGTTTTATAATACGTATTTTCTGTTGAATTGGTATTTTTCATTTTTATTTCAGAGTTTTACTTGTCATTTTAATTCCTTTTTGAGGTCATTTTTATTGTCTTTATAGTTTTTAATATTTTTTATTACAGTTTTAGCCTTTAAATAAAATGTTTTTTAACATTTTATTTTAGTTAAATATTAATTTTAGTTTTATTTCTAGTAAGGATGATGTTTTTTTAAGGAAATTAACACTTATTATGTCTTTATAGTATTTAATATTTTACAGAAGAGTTTTTTTTAAGGAAATTAGCACTTTTGAAAAAATTTAAAGTAAAGACCATCACTGTTTCCACAAAAATATTCGGCAGCACAACTGAAATGTTTCAGTTAGAATTATTAGAATGATTTCTGAAGAATCATGTGACACTGAAGCCTGGAGTAATGATGCTGAAAATTATATAAATAAATTACATTTTAACATATATTCACATAGAAAACAGCTATTTGAAATTTTAATAATATTTCAGAATTTTTACTGTATTTTTGATCAAATAAATGCAGCCTTGGTGAGCAGAAGATACTTTTTTTTTTTTTTTTAATCTTGTCAACCCCAAACTTTTGAACGGTAGTGTAAAGCAGGCAGAGGTAAAATACACAAACACAAACAAAAGAGAAACAGCGTAAATGCTGGTGATGTGTGGAATCCACCAGAACAGCAGAATAGACACACAAACTCCTGCCAAGAGCCCGGCTCTTATGATCAGCTCCGTCTCAATCTATTTACAGCAGCAAGGCTTGAGAACAAAATGAAGAGGGCGTCCCAGACACATGCTGCTAAACACACATCAGACAGGACACCACAAGCACGTCTGCTCACCTCCGTGACTCTCTTTGCAGACTGAGGTCGCTGTTTTCCTCGTGTGTTGCTGGACTCCAGTTCTTCCTCAGCACAGGACTTCAACCTCGCTGGACTCACGGGCCGGTTTCTGTCCTTTCTTTCACCGAACACCCTCGTCCCCTCAAACAACATGATAAAACACTCTCTAACAGCACTGAAATGCATGCTTTAACCTGAGTTGTGTCTGACATTAAGTTGCTGACGACAACATTCAAAGTTGGGCTACATGATGTAGTTTAAAAACAGTGATTTTTCTTATGAAATTACGATTGCGACTTAAAATGTGATTCGTTTTCTGTGCTTGCTTGTAAGGCTGCACAAATTTGGACAAAAATTGTGTGATTGTATTTCTATAATACCTATAATAATAACGGTTACTAATTTTATGATTATTATTATTACTTAATTTTAAACAAAATAAGAAATAATTACTATATTAATTGTTCACATTATATATTATGTCTATATAGTTTCTTTTTTTTTTTTTTGCAGTTTCTTTCTTTTCTTTTTTTTATTTTGTAGATCAAGTTAAACTAAACTAAAATGGGAAATGTTGCCTTGGCATCTAGATCAAATAAAATACGTTTTTAAAAATATTTTATTTTAGTTACATTTAATATTTGATTTTAGTTTTGTTTTAAGTAAGGATTTTTTTTATAAAAAAAAAATAAAAAAAACTTCAACAGAAATAAAATAATATATAAAAATATTTAAATATTTCATTTCAGACAAAATTACATTTTTCAAAATAAATAAAGCTAAAAATGAAATAAAATTAATAAAAACTTTACAGACAGATTAAAATAAATAAATAAATAAATAAATAAAAATGACAAAAACACAACAAAATTATTAAAAATGAAATGAAAACAAAAACCGAAACATAAAAATAACAAAAATAAAAACTAATTCAAAATATTAATTAAAATTGAAAAAATTATACTGATACAAAAACAATGCTGATTTCAACTGTAAAAATACTATTTAAGAAAAATAATGTAAAAGTAATTGTATTTTACAGTACATCTGTAAAATAACAATACTAATATTTATGGCTGTAATAATATATATATTTTTTTTATGTTAAATCATTAAGCTTTTATTTGGGCAGAAAAGCAAAAAGAGCCTTTATAGCTTCTCTTTTGTTGACAACAGCTAGTTTATAAGTGCTTCTCATGTTTGGGAAGAATGTCACTATTTAGGTTTTATTTAGATTAATTGCTCAGCCCTAGTTCAAAGTATGAACAGATTGCATGACATCATTAAAGGTAATCAAAGTCATCAAAGAGAGAAAATGGGACTTTCCCAAAACGAGCAGTTTATTAAATAAAACCCCCACATCTAAGATTCTACAGAAGATTTGAAAGGAGTCTAACATCTAGTGCCTAATGGCTTTTGTGCAGTCGACTTTAAAGAGCTCACAGGACAAAATGCAGTCAGAGAACAAGAGGAAGGTTGATTCAGTCTCACCTTGATGTTTCCTGATGTTGTGACGAGCAGCTGCCGTCTCTTTCCTCTCCCGATGCTGAAGACGCTCGATCCCGGATTCTTCTCCTGCTCTCCGTCTCTCAGTCCTCCGGGCCCCGAGCGCTTGGTCACCACACGCTGATCCTGAACACAACAAACACATCACATCAAAACTCCCTTCTATTATTCATATGCACAACTATCATTGATTTTCTCTACATTTAGTTTACTTCAGGTTCCTGCAGCTCAACTAGTTCAGGACAGCACTACTTCAGTGGCTCTCAACCTTTTTGACTCAAAGGTCCCCCATTTAGTATCGTTACTATACATTTACATTACATTAAATCATTTAGCAGATGCTTTTATCCAAAGCGACTTACAAATGAGGACGATGGAAGCAATCAAAATCAACAAAAGAGCAATGATACGCGAGTGCTATAACAAGTCTCAGTTAAGCTTAATGCAGCACACGTAGCAAGGGTTTTTAAAATAATATAATAAATAAAAAGAAAACAGATAGAATAGAAAAAGAATAGAGCAAGCTAGTGTTAGAGGTCTTTTTTGCTTGTGGTAATTGTATAATAAATGAAAAGAAAACAGAATACAAAAAGATTAGAAAGCTAGTGTTAGTTTTTTTTATAAAGAAAACAAGCAGCAAATGAATAGAGTGCAAGTCTAAAAGGGACACATTTTTTTAAAGAATAGAATTAGAATAGAGAGTGCTAGAGTTAGAGGGTCAAATAAAGATATAATATATATATAGATAATATACTATTACAGTTTTTATCATTATTTTAAATTCATTTTCTTTTTATATTTTCTGCTTTAATTTAAATTTTAGATCAAGTTTTAGTAATTTATTTTATTTTTTTACAGGTGTTACCATTTTAATTTTAGTACATAAAGTTAAACTAAATTAAAATGAGAAATGTTGCTAGCTGAAACATTTTTTTTATATTTAATATTTAAAATTTGCTGATTTTTTTTATATTTTATTTGATTTTATTTCAGGTTAGGGACTTTTTTTATGCTTCTAGTTTTAGTTAACTATAATACCGGTCCACAAAAACATTTAAAGGCCCCATGACTTTTCTATTCGTTTGCGATTTATTGGATAAGGATTAAAGATAAGGATTTTAAAAAATATTAACTATTATTACAATTTCTACATGATACAATGCTTCAGAGCTTGGCATAAATAGAAAAAAGTACATGCTTTATAAAAATGGCCATTGAGATGGAAAAGTCATGTAAATTAAAGGCAGAGTAAGGGATTTCTGGTAGCCAATGTTGATATTTGAAATCACCAAAACAAACACGCCCCTACCCCAAAAGGGTCTTGCCCCTATTTTGATAGCTCCGCCCCACACATACGTACGCAACCCAGGCAACGATTAGTATAAGTCTAAAAATCTAATTTTCAAAATATATGTAGGTTTTTGAAGATGGTGGGAATCTTGGTTCTTAAATAAATACATAAATAAATAAATGAATAAATAAATAAAACCAGTTGCTGAGGGGGGTGAATTAAAATTATTAAATTATTTATTAAATTATATATACTAAATTGTTTTAAGTCTTGTGGTCCCCTGTTTTAGACGTCAAATCACATTTACTTCAATAAATAAATAAATGTTGACTTTGTACAACATAAATTGTTTCAAAGCAGCAATAAACAGGAAAATAACAGCACTAATTATAGGGTTGGGTATCGAGAACTGGTTCCATTTTAGAACCGGTTCCAAATTTCCAATAATCGGCTATTTCTAGAAGACATGTGCATTTCGTTTCTGCTTAACGATTCCCGCGTTCGCA